ATAAACTCTTCTGTGGATTGAAATTCTCCAGCAGAGTCATTCGTCTAGTCATCTTCTTGAATGTCCACAGTTGGGCTGAAAATATTTTAAATTATTCTAACTTTGTGTTTTCCTGTTGTAAGCAACAATACAACCGCACGTCATTGCAACAAAACAAAAAATAAACGATGGCCTAATCCACGTAGTCACGTGAGATGTACACGTGGTATTGTACTTCGACGTGATTGTACGTGAACGGCGTTTGATTGAAAATTTCATTTGAATATGTATGCAACATAATAGAAAACTTACAAATGAATTGATACATTTCCTTTCTCAACAGAGGTTGACAGATAGCATAAATGGGCAGACGAAGACATGAAGCCATCATTGTAAGTAATGAAATCCAATCAACAGATAAGACATATAACCAAATCCATCTAAAACATATAGTATACTGTATGATAATTGAGATTACGGTAATCATACGTAGTGCTAAGCGTTTCATAAGACAAATATTCCCAAATAGTAATGATAACCTGTAGAAGATTACTCATCAGATAAGTACATACAATGATAACAAGAGTTCTTGTAGCTGCACGTATACGAGCCTACAATAAGATGAATGAGGAAGTAGAAGATATCATATAGAATACTTTTTTCTGTAAAACGCTCTGTTTATCTTGTGATGCTTCAAGGTTTGAGCTTCTGTTGTTGCGTAGCCTATAACTGAAAGAATCCATGGTTAAACTAAAAATTCCATGAAATTTCAATGAAAACCTGAAGATAAGACGAGCATTAAGATATAAAAGAATGAAGAAAGGAGCCAAAATTGTAAACATTGTTCTGAAAAGAAGAAAAGAATTCATTTTCTATTCTATTCTCAAAGTAATTATTGCCTGAAGTAGAAACGCCAGATTATATTGAACCATGGATGTTGTTTTACAAGCTGAGATGGATGAACTTCCCATTCATTAATGGTTCCTATGCAGTTATCGTTAGTTCCAATCTAAACTTCTTCTATTATATATTATCTTTATCCTGTTTGCTTTCTTTCTTCAATACAATCATCTATGTATGTATGTATGTATGTGCTCTATGTACATCTATCTATCTTCTGTTACCGTAATGTTAAGGTGAAGAGATAGATGAATGACTTCATTGCATACTCTCTCAGAGCTCATAGTTCACAAAGACTTACCTGGATTTCCTTTAGAATCGTTCCTTTGCTAACTAATCCACACATCATGGCTACAATTGCCAATATTTTTCTGTTTTTCTACAAATATGGAAAAAGAATGTGTTAAGATGGAGTTGTAAGCTTCTACCTGTAAATATGTGACAGCCCAGTTATTGACAGTTACACAATATCGTTCAACGGCAGCAAATGTAATCAAATAAGTGGAAGCTGTCATTCCTATATGGGAAACAGTTAGCATAGGAATCATATATGTAACCCTGAATATCAAAAATGAATTTATGATCTGTCTATTACTATTACCATATTGACTTCAATGTAATGTTTGCTGTCCAATTGAATAATACACGAACGGATAACACACTGATATAGGAGATGCCAATGAATACATCTGACATAGCCAGTAACATCAAGTATAAATTGTAAGAATTTCTGAATAGTTCGGATGATGATGATGATGTGTGGGTTGATGAAAGAAGCTGACCTATGTTGCTTGCTTGTGACGAAGACAAGAAAAACAAATGAATTGAAAATGATACTTATCACCGACAAGCTATCACCCAATACAACTGCCAGCCAAAAGCGTAAAACAATGAAGTAGTTGTCTACTTGGTTACAAGCATCCATCTCAGCAGCATCTATCACAGATCTCGTGGAATTTTCCACCGCAAATATCTCAGTGGAGTTCATTCTCTGCAAATTTTAATGAAAAAAGTGCCGACGAAGGCTCTCATCTGCTACATTCTTTCTTTTCTCTGTCAAAAAAAATAAGTTTACCTCGAAAGACTGGAAACACTATAGATTGATGAAATTCATTAGGAACTGCAACAAATAAGATATAAAAATAGAAAGACGGAACGAAGAGAGTGAGAGAGAGATGTATAAAGAGAGAGAGAGAGAGAGATAAGGAGAGTTGAAGTTTGAAGTAAGAAGTGAAATCAGCTTGAACATTGACGACAATCATATTTAGGACGAAATTGGTTATGAATAGAAGTAGATGATTGCATAGTCATGCTGGAGTTGTTTCGGCAGATTCTCTGATGTAACACACTTGATTCATTCATGTAAATCATCAGAAATCTGTTTTGGGTTGGCTTTAATAGCATAAGGAGCATCATACTTCCAAAGATATTTAACCTTAAATGTTCCGCATGACATGCTATGAAGAAGAGATGAAGAGATAGAGAGAGTAAGAGAAGAGCAAGAGGGAGGGAGGGGGAGTAAGAAAATAAAAAAAAAAAAGAAAAAAACGAAGAAAAAAAAATGAAAGATGCTTTTGTTTTATTCTTCCTTGAGCCTTCAACGAACTATGTTTGAACACATGCGTGTGTATGTTGTCTGCCATGAAGAGGCAAAGTCAACCAACTGTTTGTGTGCGTGTGTATGTTTCGGACGAATACCTTCTTTGGGTTGTTTCAAAGGTAGAACATTCAGATGAACATACAAAAGAGAATAACTTCCTTCTTATGAAACTTTCAATGTTTACAACACTTCCATGTTAAAAAAATATTTTGAATTTTTAATAACGGCAAGGGTTCTCCCCTCTGGAGGTTTCTACTTGCTCATTCTCTCTCTCTCTCTATGTACAAGTCCCTCTATAACTCTCTCTCTCTCTCTATATCTTTACGGAAACCAGGATGCTATTATGAAACTACTAGACGTTCTTCTTCTTCCTCTTTCTTTTGTATGCAAGTCAGTGTAATCAAATATATTTATGGTTTTCTTCACAAAACAACAGGCTAACAGGGAAATGGAGGGAAATTGGAAATTAAAGATCAACCGGTCTGCGCATGAGCTTTCGAGTAAAATGAAAAAGAAAAAGAAAGAAAAAAGTATGTCAGGCAAACGACTACAAAACACGGAACGTGGATTTCACGTCAATTATGCAAATTAAGCTTTTCAGATGGAATCGATCATTTCAATTATTCTGTATTTTTATAATTCAAAAATGACGTTGCGATGAAAGTGTGAGGATAGGTAGGCGATAATGGACTTTACAGCAACTCTCTCTTTCAATTCTCAAAAAAAAACACAGTGAATCAGTTGATTTACAGCAAGATAACAAAGATAGGTTGTGTGGTGTGAGTTCAGAGCACGAAAGAAGCACAAAGAGAGAAAGAGAAAGAGAGAGAGAGAGAGTGAGTGAGGGAGGGGGTGGAAATTAGATAAAAGTATAAGTTATAGTCTCAGCTCTTTTTAAGTTGTCGGACTTTATCTGAGAGAAATGAGAAAATAGGCAAAAGCTCAAAAAATTAATTAAGGGCGTGTGGATTGTTGAGGCGAAGAAATACTTTGGCAGCGATTGAAAGTAAAAATATGAAAAAAAGAAGAAGAAGAAGAAAAACATATTGAAATAGATAATAAATAGGAATTTTACTTAAACCGAAAGAAGGAGGGAGTAAGCTTATCCTCCTGCCACCCAACACAAGCGAAGAGAAGGAAGAAGAAGACTTCTCGGTCGGTTGGTTTGTCATTTGCAGGAGAAATTATGCAAATATAGAAGTTTCACTTCCTTAGATGATGTTATATATGTCCATCAGAGATCAATTTTTCCTTTTTTTCCCTCGTTGTGAGTTTGAATGAAGATAAGAAGAGAATAAAGAATAAGGAGGGAGAGTAGAAGGGTATGAGGGAGAGAGAGATAGAGAGACAGAGAGAGGAGAGATTTTTCATTTTTTTTGTTAAAAATTCTCCGACAGACCTGAATGACGAATGATGCCATCTTGACATGAATTTGGCTTTTTAATGATTGGAAAATAGAAAAAAAACATCTTCGAACATGAAAGAGTTTGATAAGAAAAGCAATGAAGGGAAGGAACGAGGGAAGCAAGGGAGAGAGGGAAGAGTTGGAGGGAAGAAGCTGAATCTTCGGAGATTTGAAGCATCTCATCGGCCTTTCGAAGAAGCATTATCACAATTTATGATCTAATATGAAATGAAAAATTGAGACATTACTCATATCGAACTGTTCAATAAGCATATGAGATGAAGTTCTGGAATGAAGCATCAAACAAGTGATGCAACTGATGATAGACAGAAAGAGAGAGAGAGAAAGAAGCAAAGTAAGGCTTTTCCTCTATTTTCCATCTTATACTTAGCCTGCCCTGCTGCGAGCGCTTTGACAATACACCGAACAATAGGTTGGGCAAGGACCAACGAGTCAGACTACTATGAGTTTCAGCCGAACACACACTAACTTTGATTAAAACACAAAAAAAATGTTTGGACAACAATAGGAAGTAAACGATGATATATGAGAAGGAATTACAAAGTTATTTTTGTCTGACCTCTCTTTCCCTTTCTCTCTCTCTCTCTCCCTCTCTCTCTGATTCATTTCCTCATTCCCTCTCAATTGCTTCTATCAACCCATTCCCCCCTTCATGTCTCTCTATTAATGAGAACCAATGGCTTTCTATAATTAAATCGTTTGAAAACAATTTTTTTTTGAAAAATCTTCTTTTTGTTTCCTTATAAGCTGAGAGAAGGCGAAACTCTGTTTTCCTATCATCTGGAAGACGTTGAGCTGGAAGTTCTGTGACGTGTGAAATGAGAGAAACAGAAGAATAGACAATGCTCATTGGAGGGCTGGGTAGATCATCTGAAGTTGGCACAATCTCAAAAGTGTCACATAACAGTTCAACTCGTTTCCTTTCTTCTTCTTCTACTTCTTCTCTCCTTTTGCTTTCTAACCCAGCCCCCCCACCTCATCTTCCAAACATGGATAAACAATCTTTCAAAAACAAAGTTTGGAATGAAAAAATAATGTGAGAGAGAGAGAGAGAAAGAGAGAAAGAGAGTGATAGAGAAAGAGGACAAAACGAGGTTAATGAATTTGTTTATTTTTCATGGCAAATATCAAGAACCATTACATTTCCATAATTCATTCCAAGTTTTTGGTTTTCGAACGTTAATTCACATTTTTTGTGTAATAATAAACAGAATTGGAATGTTATATTGCTCCATCTATGCAGATTCACATAGCATGGATGCTCCTCTCCTGTGGAATCTCTCTCTCTCTCTCTCTCCTTCACCTCTCCCTCTCTCCCTCTCTCTGTGTTATACTGTTGTTGCAATTAATTGGTTAAGAAGGGGAAAAGAAGAAAGACAAATGATAACAATACACACGAAATTCAACAGAAATTTAATTATTTACTATGTGAATGAGCTGTCTTGAGGTGTCCTTTAATCATTTTTTAAAGGACAGATTTAACCTAACGAGTTTATGAAGAGAGAGAGAGAGAGACTGCTTCTACTATTGCTGGCGGGGGCTTAGAACGAGGTTCGAAAATGTGTGAATGAAGGACAAATCACAGAAAATACTGTTAATTAGCAGTGGAACATTTGTCTTTTCTCCTCCTCCCAACACAAGTTCATTTCTCTCTTTTAAAGATGTTGAAGGAGATAGAGAGAGATTGTGAGGATGAAGAGAGAAAGAGAGCGGGAGAGGAGAGGAATGCGAGGAAGAGGTGTTCTGTGATTAGAGAGTCCAACATTATAATTCATGTGTATGGATGTTGTAGTTGATGGTGGTAGAAGTAGAAGTAGAAGTAGTAGTGGTGGTATGTCTGTGTGTATGTGTATGTGTATGTGTGTGTGTATGTGTGTATGTTAGTAGAGGAATGGTCATGTACTTACATTTTCCCATCAAAAATAAACTTTCAAATAATACAAAATTGAAATGAAATTATGAGAAAATGGTGGCCGCAGCAGCAGCCAGCAGCCAGACAGACAGCAGTCAGTCAGGTTTGGAAACAGAGAGAAAAGAAATTAAAGGAAGAAACAACAAAAAATAACGAAAAACGAGATAATTGTGAAACCAAAGAAGGAGCTTGGAATTGTCTTGAAAGAATAACAATTATTTGAAGCAAAAAACGCCGGAGAGCACCCACGAAATATGGTGAAGGAAACAGAGGAATTATTAAGAAAATCGGGCGGCGATGTTGACAAGGAAAAACCATCTGGGTGTGTGTATGTGTGTGTGTATGTGTATGCATGTGTGTGTGTGTGTGTGTATGTGTATGTGTGTGTGTGCAGCAGCTATCGCCTTCCTGGAGACTTCCACACAGAAGGAGATATGAAGCAGAAGACAGAGATATATAAGACACAAGAAGAAGTTCAAATATAAAATACGTTCCGCCGATGAGACTCCCGGGTGCTCTTTTTGTCTTTTTTTGGGATTGGGATGAAGCTGAACCGAAGAAAATTTTCATCCAAACAAGCAGTTCGTCTTTGTTCATTGGCCATTCATAAAGTGTGGGTGACATTACGAATATTTCAATTGAGAGACTATTTCTTAAAAACAATAAACTGCAAGAAGAAGAAGGCATATTCATAGTCTCGTTAAGATATATTCAGAGACAAGTTGCGATGAAGAATTATTTGTTTTTCGTAATTGCCACGGTTGGAAGCGATGGAGACAAATTATGCTTCATTTAACCTCACAACGAGTTCTATCTTTAAAAAATGACACTCGCTCTTAGTTGGAGATTATTTTGAAGCTTAAAAAGTATTGGAAACAGGAACGTTTTGATGATCAGTGGCTAGGAGAGAGGAGGGAGAGAGTGGAGAGAAAGAACATAAAAGGAAAAATAACAGCTCGCAAGCCTCATTCTTGGTATCGCACGATGAGAATCCCAATAGGTGAGTCTTTACATGAAAGTTGTAGGAGAAACAAAAAACTGAAAAACTGA